CGGCTGGGGAAGGGGCGTCCGCGGCTGAGCGGACCCGGGACAATGACAGCCCGGTGGGACGGCCGCGGCGAACGCGGCCTCCGCTGCTTGGGGCTGTGGCCTGGACCTCGGCGCCTTTCAGTCCCGGCGGCCTCGGGGGCAGAGCCGGGAGGTCCTCCGCAGCCCGCGACCTGCGCTGCGGCAGTCGGGAAGGGGCCTGAGAAAGTGACAAAGGCGATGCCCGACCCGCGCAGGGGTGTCCACGCGGGGCCCGAGCACGCCCGGCCCGCGGGCTTCCCGAGGAGGGCTGCCCCTAAGGAGGAGGGCCGGAGGGCCGGGCGGGCTCCCCGGGCGGCAAAGGCCCCACATCCCTAGGGGTGCGGTGCTCGCGGTGACCCGGTGGCGCTGCCCGGGCCAGCCCAGCAGCCAGCAGCCAGGGAGGCAGGCCCGGTGGCACTGTGCCCGGCCGTGAGGACCTGGCTGCCACCGAGACATGCGTGCCAGCCGCCGGAGCGCCCTCGTGGAGGCGCAGGCCAGGTGGGAGTCAAGGCGCGAAGCCCCGCGCAGGGTCGCTCCGGGCCCCGGACGCCAGCTGCTGTCGAGAGGTCGGGGAGTCTGACTGTGCAGTGTCCTGGGGCGCCTTCCCCTCTGGAAAACGGTGCTTCCTTGACTCCACCTTGCTTTCACTTGTTTTCGTTTATCCAGCAACCACAAGGTAGCGCTGAATAGGTGCCGTTCCCAGGGACCGTGAGGCCCTGGTGACAGCGCGAGCGCCGAGGGCCATGGCTCGTTAGTGTTGGTGGGGAATGCAGCTCGGGTGCCCTGAATGCAAGGGCTTTAGGTCAAACAAGCAGCCAGGCCTGGTTTATGGTCCAGGTGCCAAGGGCACACCCAGCGATTAAGAGGAAATCCAAAGAGCTGGCTTAACAGCCCCAAGCATTGCTTTTTTTTTTTTTTTTTTTTGTCTTTTTGGGACAGGGTCTGGTTCAGGCTGGCCTTAAGCTCGCTTTGTAGCCCAGGCTGGTCTGGAACTTGAAACGATCCTCCTGCCTCAGCTCCTGAGCGCTGGGATTACAGGCGTGGGCCCCCACGTCTGGCTCAAGCATTGCTTTTGGATTGTCTCATTGAAACGCTCTTTCCTGTGGAGGAACCAGGGACTCCACCAACCCTAGCCAGAAAACCCAGCCCCACAAGGACAACAGAATTCACAGGTGAGGATTGGCCACCAACTGTGACTTCCTCCTTCCCTCACCTTCAGGCCACCTCAAGGCCAGGGGTCCTCTCTCCTTTCCTATTGGTCCACAAGCAGAAGGCCTGTTTCCTGTCCCATGGAAATAGCTGAAAGAGGCTCCACCAAGGGTTCCATGTTGCTTTATATGCAGTCATGTAAAAAGAAAAAAAATAGACCAGGTGTGGTGGCGCACACCTGTAATCCCAGCACTCGGGAGGCTGAGGCAGGAGGATCGTTGCGAGTTTGAGACCAGCCTGGGCTACAAAGTAGGCTCAAGGCCGGCCTGAACTGCACAGTGAGACCCTGTCTCAAAAAAAATAAAAAATTAAAAAAAATATATATATATATATATATATACACAGCCATGTTACAGGACTACATTCTAAAAAATTTACCACTTGGAGGTTTTGTTATGCAAACATCAGAGTATACACAAACCAACATGGCCACAACAGCACTAGACAATATAATCTTTTTTTTTTCCCCTGGTACCAGGAATTGAACTCACGACCTTGCGCCTGCCAGGCAGGCGCTGTGCCTCTGAGCTAAATCCCCAGCCCCTAGACAATATAATCTTTATGGTTCTTCCTCTGCTTGTTTTGATTTCGTGTGCTTCTTTATTCTTTTTTTTAGGCAGGATGTTATTATGATTTCTGGGCTGGTTTTGAACTCTTGGACTCAGATAATCCTCCTGCCTCAGCCTCCTCTGTAGCTGGACTGTAGGCGCACACCACTGAGCCTGGCTTAAACAATATAATTTTTTTTAAAATGTATTTTTATTGGTCCATGTTTGCCGTACATAATGATCGCATTTTCCTGGGGAGTTGGCTGGTGTGTGTAAGACATCTTAGTTCTTGTCATATCCCTTCCCTCTCTCTCCATCTCTTGGTCCCTTTCCCATTTGTAGAAGATCTACCCACGTGCTTCCTCTGATCTCTTTCACTTAGGCTGCATCATTTATGCAGCCACTGGCACATACATAGGGCATCACAGACATGGACACCCTTCCATGGCACAGGACTATCTCTGCAGTGATGAGGTGGCCAGCTAGCTTGGGCCCCCCAGATGCAGCCTGACTTCCAGGAACAGCTGAGACTGCTCCTGGCTGCAGTGGAAGGCTCCTGTCCCTCTGATGTCGCTTCTGCCTGAAAATGTGTGGAGCAACAGCTTCATTTATTACAGACCCAAAAGGGAAGCAAAACCCTTTGCAGTAGGAATATCCTGTGTTGAGTAACCTACAGCCTTAGGGGAATATAGGGTGAGGGAACCGAGATTGGGTGTGAGCTTATTTTCTTTTCACTAAAATAAAACTATGTGGTTGGCACTCTAAACAGAAATCAGATCAGGGCTTGCGTCTTACACAGCTTATGGTCCTCTCCATGGGAGCTGTCTGCTTTGTCCCCATTTATCAGCCTTTGCTTCTTATTTTTTATCTTAATTTTTACAAAAAAATTCTTCGAGATGGGGTCTCCCTACATAGTTTAGGCTGGCCTTGAACTCACTAAGTAGTCCAGGCTGGCCTCAAACTCACCATAATCCTCCTGCCTCAGCCTCCTGAGAGCTGAGATTACAGGCATGCACCACTATGCACTGCCCAACAGTCACTTAACTCATTTTGTTTTAACCACTCAGAAACAGATCAATGGCTATATTTGGTCTGAGGGCCATGGTTTGCGAACCACTGATTTATACCATTATGACACTTGTGGCATCTCAATTTTCCTTGTTAATTTATTTCCCAACCATAATGGAAGTTTGGTGAAAGCAGGCACCGTATCTACCTTGTCACCACCGTCTTCTGCAGGGCACATAGTAGGTGCTCGCTAAATAACCAGCAGGTGAAGGACTATGGAAATGTTGCTCCGCAGCAGGTCAAGAGCCAGTGCTCAGGTTATACTGCTGCCCCGCCCCCGGCTGATGAAAGGAGGAACAGATGGGGCTGCTGCTGGCCCACAATCAGGAAGTCGACTCACCCTGGCGCCAGCACCCAGGACTTACGACTGGGTGGGGCCGTGGCTCCGGGTGGCCCTCTGAGGCCGCACTCTCGCTGGCTGCAGAACAGAAAGCCCTCTGCTGGCTTTCTGCCCACTGCCTTCGCTCTTTCCCTTCCCCAAGTCCCGACTGCTTCCCTTCCCAGTTCTCCTGGCCACTCTGCTGCCCCGTGCATGGACCGAAACAAAAGTTTCCTTTTGGGTCCAGAAGGCCATCCCAGCCTTGCGGGGGTGCAGAAGGGAGGCTTGTGGTGGGAAAGGACATTCTGTCTGGGGTGCTCGCTACACCCCGGGAAAGACAAGGGGATGAGGGAAACGGCAAGCCAGGATTGCCAAGGGAGTGGGGCGCCCCTAGAGTCACGAGCGTGTCCAGTGAATCAGCGGGGCTCCTGGCGGGAAGGACACAGGCTGTGAGCGGCGACACTGTTTCATTCTGAGTGCTGTGACTCAACCCACAGCGAGCACCTCAGTCTGCCCGGTCCTGGCTAGGATGGGGCTCTGCCTGCATGTGCTGTGAGAGTCACAAAAACACTAAGTGACATTCGCAGAAATTTGACACCAATGTCCACTCCACATGTGGGGACCCTGCCGGTTGTCCTTACGGTACACGTTTATTGACTGTGATTATGTTTTTTGTTCTTTTTTTTCCTCCCGTACCAGGAATGAAACTCGCGACCTTGCGCTTGCCAGGCAGGCGCTGTGCCGCTGAGCTAAATCCCCAGCCCCCTATTGATTGTGGTTATGGACTATGTGCTTATTCTATTAATTCTCCGAACAACATGTGCTGTAAGGTGGGCACCATTATGTTACCATCATACTGGACAGATGGAGAGACTGAGGTGCAGGGAAATGACATTTTCATGGTTCCACACAAGATCCAGGATTCAAATAAAGACTCACTAATGCTAGCAGACATAACTTACTACTACTTCCTCAGCCTGGGGTTGGGGCACTCTTTCTTTTGGTAACTTTGAGACAGGGTCATCCTACATAGCTCAGGATGCCCTTGAACTCACCATGTAACACAGGTGGGCCTCAAACTCCCTGAGCCTCCTGCCTCAGCCTCCAGTGTATGCTACAAATATACCACAAGCCACAATGCCAGACTAGCCTGGGGTTAAAGCGGCCGAAGGATGCTACAGCGGGGAAAATAACATGCAGCTCCAAACAAGTGGCCATGAAGGCCCTGGTACCAGAAATCTATCTCATTTTCCCTAAACAAATAACATGAGGATCAGCAATAGGTGGATAAATATTTATGACTAAAGCAACCTACAATCATCAGGCTCATGACACCTCCTCCACACGCCGACAACAACAGCAACACATCTTGTGGTTTGGACATGCCTAGACACGTACATGGAGACTTAAATTACAGGACCAAAGCTTCAGGGAAAAGAGAGACCCTAACCCTACACTTAACCCTAACCCCAGCCCTTACCCTAACCATAACCCTAGGCCCAACCCTACCCTACCCGTAACCTTACCCTACCCTAACCCTAACCCTACCCTGCCCTAACCCTAGCTGTAGCCTTAACCCTGCATACAGTGCTGCCCAGCAGCAGACGGGGCTTCCCTGTGTCTGAGGTGTGACCCCATTCCCCGGCACTCAACAGTTTGTGATCTCTCTAGGTACCCGGTCATTCACTTTGGGAGTCCTATGAGTGACATCTCAGAAAGCACCATCCCAGGCGGAGGAAGCTGGCTGTACAGAACCGACAGGAGGCGACCGAGTAACCAGAGCCCAAGGCTGCGCCTCAGAGGCGGCCGGGTGTGCAGGCTTTCGCTGGTTTGCACAAAAGCACCCGTAGGACTGTGTCTGACCAGAGGCGGGAGCTTTTCCAGTTCTCATCAAGTCCTCCTAGGTCGCAGGAAAGCCCTGAAACACACGTCCTTGTGCTCCCACCCGTCCCGGAACGATCTTCCCACCTCTCTGCATGGAGAGTGCAGGTGGGATCTGGGGGCACCCAGCAACGCCTGGCTTCGCCAGAGGCTCTTCTGCCCCGTCCTTCCTGGGGTGCTCCTGATGGATCCGCATGCACAGGGCCAGAGGCAAACAGCGGAGTGCCCGCCGTCCACTTCGGCCTGGGAATTCCAGGATCCCTCTGAGCCAACCGCCAGGGCTCCCCAGAGGTCGGAGCGGGAGGACGAGAAAGCCAGGCTCCCGGGCTCCGCTCCCTCGTGCCATCCTCAGGCCTGGACGGCCCCGGGAAGGCCACGCTGGGCAAAGGGCCCCTGTCACTCGGGAGCTGCCCCTGGCCGACGCGCTGACCCACAGCCCTGGATCCCGACCAAGCGGTCAGCAGCAGCTCCGGGAGCCAAGCCAGGAGGGGTGGGGCCACTTTCTGTCCCCTGCAGGAACACGGTCTCGTTTGATCCTCACGGTCTCCCTCTGTACAGGGGAGGAAACTGAACTGCATGCCAGACGAGGAAAGAATTCGGGCCAGGTCACGCAGCTAGTAGGTTCCAGGGCTGGGCTTTAAACACTTGGTGCCGACTTGGGAGTTCAGCGCCAGTCTGGGCTACATAGCAAGCCCAAGGCCAACATGAGCTACTTAGAGACCGTCAAAAACCTAGAAAATTTAAACAGAAAAATGTGAAGTCAGTGTGGGGGTCCATGAGAATTCTGTCTTGTGAAAGGGGATCCATGCTGTAGGGTGACTCGGAGAGGGGGTCCCACGGCCTCCTCAGCCCACACCCTCAGCCTCCAGGTCAGGTTGGGGGGAGGGGCACAGAAACAGTCCTCAGGCCCAGAGGATTCTCATGCCCAGAAGACATCCCTCTCACTGCACCGAGGTGAGGGGACAGCACAGTCTATGATGCGCCCTGGAGTTCAAGGGACTATCTCTCCCGGAGAACAGGGTCCCCACAGGGTTTTAAAATCTCAGTCTACATCTGTAACCCCTAGCAGTCAGGAGGCTGAGTCAGGAGGATCACCACAGCTCAAGGGAAGCCTGGGCTACAAAGTGAGAGCCTGTCTCCAAAAAATAAAGCAAAAAAACCCTCAGTCTGGACAAGAGCTTGTGAGTACAAGGAGTGCATGTGGGTGTGGCACGTGTGTACATGTACACATTGGTGCATGCCACATACAACTTGTATACATATGGGTGTGGCATGTGTGTGTCCCTGTATATGGTATTTATTTATTTTTTATTTTTATTTATTTATTTTTGTCTTCTTCCAGACAGGGTCTCACTATGCAGTTCAGGCTGGCCTTGAGCTCACTTTGTAGCCCAGGCTAGCCTCAAATGCACAACGATCCCCCTGTCTCAGCCTCCCGAGCTCTGGGATCACAGGCATGCACCACCATGCCTGGTCTTGTGTATGGTATTTAATGTATGTTTGCACACATGTACAGTTTGCATGTACATATGTGCGTGTATGGTGTGCACGGTGGGCGCATGCATGTATGCAGTGTGTATGTGTGCATGTGTCCATATGCATGTGTGTGACATATATGTGGGCGCGTGTGTGCATGTGTGGTGTGTATGGTACTGCGCGCATGAGGTGTGTACGTGTGTGTATGTGTGCGTAGTGCGTACATTTCCATGGTGTGTATACGTGTGCGCGTGTGCAGTCTTCCCCTGAGGGTCTACAGGACAGCCGTCTGCACACACCCCTGAGAGCGGCGCGGAGCAGGCCCCCGGGTAGCCGGTGGCTGGCAGATAGGGAGGGGAAGAGGGCAGGGAGGAGCCGCTCTGGCCTGGGCCCACGGTGTGCCACAGCTGCCGCCCAGAGGAGAGAAGCTTTATCAGCTGCGTCTCAGCTTCCTGTTTTCCAGGGGCTGGCCCGGGTGAAGCGAGGCAGGGACATCTGCTTCTGTTTATTCTTCTTCTTATCTTAATGGGTCCCCCATGGCCCTGGAATGCCTCGGGCAGGGCGCAGGTAAATACCCGGAGGGAGAAAGGAGACCTGTGCCCAGGACCCGCGATGGATGACTTACGAGACAGCTCCGAGGCACCCCTGGTCCTGGGGTCCGAGTGGAGAAGAGAACAGAAAAAAGGGTCCAGGGCGAGAAAGGCTCTCCTCAGAGGGCGAGCAGCAAACTAGCCCGTTGCTGGGGGCAACCTTAGCTGTTAGGAGAAACGCGCTGCAATTACTTTTAAATTGCGGGTCACACCTAGGCTAATAGGCACAAACTGGAAATTCCTGTTGGGAGGAGGAAGTGTCCCATTAGATAATGGTCACTCACCCTTGAACCTGGGCCAGTTTCTGGCTGCAGGAGCTTGGCTCCAGGGGCCTCTGCTGGCTGCCACCCCTCGGTGCAGTCGGAAAGGGGCCTGTCTCCTCCTGGCAGTCGCAGCTGCCCTTCCAGGGACAAAGAAAAGCCGGGGGCGGGACGCGAGCCGCGCAGCTCTCCCGCTAACTAAGGCTCTCAGTCTCGGGAGCTGAGCCCCCGACCCCGACGCAGGGAGCCGAGGCGCGCGCTGCTGCCGGGAGAAGCTCGAGGGCTTTGAGCCGTTGCTGAGCCAAACTCCTGCTCCAGCCCATGCCCTGATAAGCCTTGGGTTCTTATCGCATCCCGGGCCCGACCAAGGTCATCCTGCTGGTGCTTACTGGCAGCTTAGAATTGATACAGTTACCGGGCTGTAGCCAAGGACTTCTTTCTTTAAATGTCCCCATTATATTTTTTAATGGTACTGGGGATGAAACCCAGGGCCTTTAGCACGGAGCTACAACCCCAACTCCTTTGTAATCTTTTTTTTTTGGTGGGGGGGAACCTAGGGTTTTTAAATTGCCTGGGTTGGGCTCAAACTTGTGATCCTCCTGCCTCAGCCTCCCCGACTACTGGGATTATATATGCATGAGCCACTACAGCCAGCTTTCCAATCATCTTTTTTCTATCTTTTTTTTTTTTTTTCCCAGTACTGGGAATCGAACTCACTACCTTGCACTTGCCAGGCAGGTGCTGTGCCCCTGAGCTAAATCCCCAGCCCCTCTTCTATCATTTTAAAGCATGGTTTTTGTTATTAAAAAGCTGCGTTTAGCTATTACGAAGGTCAGTGCTTTTTAAGGCGTGTTCTTGGTTTATGGTCCAACTGGCAACAGACCGTGGTGGTCCCAAGCTTGGCCTTTGGAATCACCATGATCTGAGCTCCAGTTCTGACTCCTCCACTTGCTGAGTGGGCCCGTGCTGTGTACACCCTGATTTCCTCATTGATAACATAAGGCTGAGTAAGAATTAGCAGGTGAAAGAAATGAAAACACTTGGTACTGTGTTCAGCACTTGATGCACATTAGTGACTACTAAGCTCTTATTATTATTACTTTTTCGTACTGGGAATTGAACTCAGGACCTTTCACTTGCCAGACAGGTGCTGTGCCGCTGAGCAATATCCCCGGCCTTACTAAGCTCATTTTAAATGGGTCAGGATGACAGGACTGCTAACATAGTTGTACTACTGATGTCTATCACTTTATTGAAAGGAAAACTTAATGATTAATTATTTTGCTCAATCTTGCATGTCTATATTTGTTTTCCTGAGTAATCACTTTGATGTTATCAATATGTAATACAACAACCATTGTTAATTCCCTGTCACCTTGTCTGTAATTCAGTGTTGCTTGTACTATTCTTATGCTACTTTGTAAATGGTTCTGTTTCTTAATATGTTTTCGTTCTTTTACTTTTAAAATTTAAAAAAATAATTAGAAAAATAAATGGGTCCGGAAAGTGACATTTTTGTGACAGGTCACTGGGAAGAATGATCATGTTTTTTACTCCAGGGAAAAATGATGGGTCCCAAACCCAAGGCAGATAGAGAAAATGAACCCAGGACATCAAATTGTACTAGAAGACAAGGGTATATTTATTTTATTTTATTTATTGTCTTTTTGAGACAGAGTCTCGCTATACAGTTCAGGCTGGCCTTGACCTCACTTTGCAGCCCAGCCTGGTCTCGAATTTGCAAGATCCTCCTGCCTCAGCCTCCCGAGTTCTGGGATTACAGGTGTGTGCCACCACGCCCGGCTTTTATTTTATTTTTAGGTTGTTTTTTTTTTTTTTTTTTTTTTTTTTTTTTTTTCTTTTTTTTTTGTACTGGGAATCAAACTCAGGACCTTGTGCTTGCCAGGCAGGCACTTATGCCACTGAGCTATATCCCCAGCCCATTTTATTTTTCACAAGGGTATCTTTAAAGGCAGGAATGAGTGGAAAGGACTTGGGGGGATTTAAGGAAATTTGAGCATCAAAATGAATAATAACTATAGCTAACAACACAATACATAAAAAATCCAGCTAAGCCGGGCCTGGTGGTGCACACCTGTATTCCTAGCACTCGGGAGGCTGAGGCAGGAGCATCATTGCAAGTTCAAGGCCAGCCTGGACTACAAAGTGAGCTCAAGTTCAGCCTGAACTACATAGCGAGACCCTGTCTCAAAAAGACCTAAATAAATAAATAAATAAATAAAAATAAACATAAAAAAATTAAAAATCCAGATGTCCATAGTGATATTCAAAACAAGAGGGGAAAGGAAGGGAAATACCAGCTAACGAAAACAGAAGGAATAGCAGGCCATGGCAGTGCACGCCTGTAACCCCAGCACTTGGAAGGCTGAAGGAGGAAGATCAGTTTGAGTCTGAGGCCAGCCTGCGTTATATAAACAAGCTCAAGGCCGGCCTGAAGTATATAGTGAGACCCCATCTCAAAAGCAAAAACAAAAATGGAAGGAATGACAGAATTGAAAATCATTGTTTTGCAACCTCTGATGACACAGGGAAGCAAAGATTATCTACTTTGGATGAAACACTGGATGAAAAGTTACTAAAAACCAAGATACTCACACTGGTCTGAAGTACCACCTGCAGATGATTTATAGCTTACCACGACACACAAAATCTCCCTTTAGGATGGAGCACACCAGGGTCATCACCTTAACCAAGTGATCAAACTGAGCCCCCCAATCAAACGGTGCTGGCATGTTTCCTGGTGCGATGCCATCTGGAATATACCATCCCACCAATATGAATTGTTCCTGTCCAACAGGGTTAACCCACACACAATTAAGCCTGTGGCCTAAAGTCCAGTTTAGAGGAAATTCTGGGATAGAGGAACAAGTTAAATGACACCAAGTCAGACAAATTCACCACATGGAACACACAACCAGAGGACTAGTCTGAGATATAGGCCTTCCCCTTGACCACACTCTGACCCTCAGAGTCCTCTTTTCACCTAGACCTGGAAGTTGGCTCTAGTCCCATTTGGCCAGCTCCACTCAGTATTAGCAAAGAACCTGCTACCTGCATTACCTTTCCACCCTTGATATCTGATTAGCAAAAACGCTGTTTGGCTTGTTTAGCAAGAATCTCCTATCCTTGATGTCTGCTCTCTCTGTCCATTTACCCTCTCCTCTTGCCCTTTGGCTATAAATTCATTTTTTCCTTGTTGTATTTGGAGTTCAGCCTGATTTCTCTCCTCTAGTGAAATA